TTTCCTTTTTATTAATTTATTTCAAAAATAAAAAGTTACATCTAATTAGTATTGTTTTGTATAGTTAAATTTCTGGGTATTAATTAATTATTTCAATTTTTGCAAATTTATTAAGATTATATAAATTTATTATCAGTAGATAAATTTAGTATATAAAGTATATAAATTAAAGGCATATAAATTTGATATACAAATTTAAATTATGAGTATATAAATTTAGAAGTATTACTATTTTTACAGTATGCGATTACATTAGCAACAAATAATATCAATAAATTATTTATGAATCGTGTTGGTTTAGTTGTTCGTTGGATACCATATTCAGAGGAATCAGAAATTGAAAATTATTCAAATTGCAAAAGTGAACTTCTTAATTAATTACATCAAATTATCATTGATAAAAATTTTAATTATCATAATTTCAATATCAAATTGAAATTATGATAATTAATTTCTGTTAAATAAAAAGTGATATTATAACTATAATTAATTCTTTCAACATCAATAATTTAATATCGAATTGAAATAATCAATTAATTTCTAATAAATAAAAAAAAAAAACAATATTATAACTATAATCAATTCTTTCAATATCAATATCAAATTGAAATTATTGATTAATTTCGAATAAATAAAATATAATATTATAGCTAAAACAAAAGAAAAGGATTATTTTGCTGATAATTATATATTATGAAATTTTTAGTTTTAATTAACAATTATCAATGGTCTCAGTGGACAGAATTCGAGAAACAAACTGTTCAACATTGCGGTATTAGCACATATATTCGATATTATAATTTAAGAATTATAAAAGCAATTCAAACTAAAACGAAAAAGACATTATCAACATATTGTCCTGCAACAGTGCAGTATAAACAAACATGGCAACGTGCATGTAAGTTTCGTTTCAATAAAATATCACGGTAACACGTGAACGTTACAATGACGTAAATACGTGATCAAAATAAGTAATAATAGAACAAAAAAAGAGAAAAAATTTTTGCAACATTACTTATTTCAATAATAAAATTCATTCTACGTTAATTGATCCTATTCTTCAACGAAATCCTAAAAATCATTATAATCAATAAATCAAGAAAAATCAATAAAAAATTATCTACTATAATTTATATAAAATATTTTGAAATGCTATTAATGAATTGATAAAATGATAGTGTTCTAATATTAACTTTTCCATTCTTCTCTATAAATTTCAACTTAAAATTTTACATATATTCTCATCATTGTACATTTCATTTTTATCATCAAAAGGAACAAATTAAAATGTTAACAAAATTATCACTCAAAATAAAAATATCATTTAAAATGTATTAAGTCCATTACTGTTAATATTGTTGTAGTAATTTTTAGGTTGTCCTCAAGGCGATCTGCAACCACTTGAAAATTACGTCAATCTTTCATATGATAATGCATTTTGTATTGTAAAATCTAGTTAGTTAATTGTTATTTTTTAAATGCCTAAAAATTAAGACTTAAAATTGAATTTTTAAGAAAATGATTATTATTATTATCATGATTTCAGTTGTCAATAAAGAATAATGATTCATAAAATTGATTATTAAAAATGATCATGATTTAAAAATGCAAATATTTTAAATTAATTTTTTTCTTTAATTTCTAATTTTTATTACTTATCTTTTATTTACTTTTTAGCTTTACATAAAGTTAATGCAAGTAAACTGTCAACAATATGTAAAATAGGCAAATTATGGACACCATTACCAATTGCTACTTCTCCTATCAATAATTCATATTATCAACGCAATAATATTATCAAAAGTTATGGTAATATTATTGCTCTTATCATTCTGTTAAAATGATAATCTCTATTTTCATGGAGCAAAGAGATAATTTAAATTTCTAAATGATTTCTTATCAAATTATTTATGTTTCTTCTTTTTGGATTTAAATTTGCAATTTTTGGAATAATTATTGGAAATGATTTTTGTGCTATTAGAATGTTTGAATATAATTTTAAAATTTCATTTCTTAATTAATTATAAAAATAGATTGGAAATTTTTATTTCTTTCATTTGAATATTTTCATATAACACTTTTACTTTTATTAATAAGAAGAAATGAAATGAATTAAATAATTGATTAAAATTCAAAATTTCAATTATTTCATTCTTATTTAAATTTCAGTTAATTAATTCTTATTGAAGATAAAATTAGTAATTGTTATGTTTGCTTCTGTAATACTATAAATATATAATATAATGTGTTAACTTTTACATTACTGCATAAATAAAATTAATATAATCTATCTGTGTAAATACAAGACAAATGCGCTTAATTATGCGCAAATTGTCGGTACTTCAAATATCAAACTTCTCTTTCACTCATTAAAATTGCATATTTTAAAGCTATTGATCTTTTCGCATTGACGAAATTGATAACAAGAGATTCGTTTTGATCTTTCCGCTTTGAGAAAATTGATAATTAAAGATTCATTTTCCTTAATTAATCAATAATATCATTATCATTCATCTAATTTATCGTTTGTAGAAATTCAACGTGGTGAAATTTTAAACAATTATTGGATAGGCATAGAAAGAATAAATGGAAAGAATTGGTTAATAAATGGTCAACCAATAAATTTTGATTCACAATTTAATTGTCAAAATCATTGTTATGATATGGTTTGTTTTTATTTTATTTCGATGACTAATTTACAATTATTAAATTTTGAAAAAATAAAATTAATATTTAATATTAGTAAATTTAACTTTATTATTATCTCACATACTATTCAAACAGGTAATTTTACCTTTTTTAATTAATATAATTTATGATATATTATTATTGTAATATGTGTATCACAGACTATTTATCTAATAAATGCAATACCGTTAAATTTACTAATATAAATATTAATTATAATTTATACTTTCTAATTTTACTTTCTATTAAAAATTTGCACTTTCTAATTAATTAATTTTAATTTATACTTTCTAAAACTACACGATATGATAAATATTTTCTTTGTTCTTTTAATTAATCTTTTGTGGAGCAAATTTCTAAAAAATATACTGTAAGATAAATAATTTCTTTGTTCTTTTAATCAATCTTTTGTGAAGCAAAAAAAAAAAAATTTTTTTAAAAATTTTTCTTCAACAAAATCCTAAAAATTAATTACTAACTATTAATTTATATTTGTAATATAAATTTTAGCAAATTTTACTTAGCACTAATGCATATATGAGATATTTAAATAAAACGAAATATTTCGTATGTGTCAACAACGGTTAGTTATATTTGTCAATAATTTTTTAAAAAAAAAAAGAGAAAGAAATGACGCAATTTATTATTAATTAATAGTTAGTAATTAAAAAAAAAAAAAGAAATGACACAAATAATTATTATTATTAATAGTTAGTGAAATTTTATTATAAATAATTAAATAGAAATACTAAAAAGGTTTTCTTTTGTTTTTGTTTAAATTAAAAAAGAATGCAATTTTATTTAAAGAAAAATGGGAATTATTTTCGATTGATGATGCCGCAGAATGTACGGCTATTTGTGTAATTAAAGCTGTCAATAGTTGAATTCATATAAAATTTTTATAAATTGAAATATATCCTACTATTATTCTATTGCTATTATAAAATTTATCAAATTTTTGATAATCTTTAATTAATTAATTAATTAGATAAAGTAGTTTTAATAAAATTAGAGAAAAATAGCAAGCAATTAATCTTACTACTGGTTTCTTTATTAATGAAAATTAAACATGTAAAGTTTAAATTTCTATCATTGTGATTTATCACGATTTTATTAGAATCATATGATGTTATTGATTTTAAAAATTACTATGAATTATAATAAAGTAATCAAGTAATTGTAATAAATTATCATCATGAAATCGTGATCAAGTAGATAAAAGTTAAAATTTCATTGTGATCGATCGGAATTATACGACGCTAATGATTAAAGAAACCGCTTATGTATTATAAAAATTTTGTAATTACGTTAAAATAAATGTTACCAAAAGAAACTAAATTAAATCTTCTCGACTCTTGAATCTAAGCCATAAAGTAACAGCATCCTCATTCATTTCAAATCATTCATTTCAATGATTATTACAGCTTGACAAGAGTATCCGAGAAACTTCAGGATGTTATTTTAAGACTTAGATTCAAGATTGGAGAAGATTTAAATAGGCCCAATAATAATTAATATATATCTTATTATGCTTTATTTTTGAAAAGCAAAAAATTTCACTCTCACTTAGAAGAAATCAATTGAATGAATTAAAAGAGAAATTGAAATTACTTCCGCAAATCGCATGAAATGAATAAACTAAATGAATTCCTTAACTTCTTTGTTGCCAATAACGATATATTGAAATTTTAAATTTTGGAAATTTTTAATTTGCGAAAAAAGAAAAATCAGACATTTCTTCTCATGCATTTTAATTAATTGAAAGATATAACAATATGAGAATTTAAATGATGAATGAAATGGATTGAAAAAGTTAACTGATAGCCTATTATTATCAATTATTAATTTAAAATCAAACAGAAAAAAGGTAAAGAGTTTAGGTAAGTCTTCGAAAGTAATACTTTAAAAAACGGAAAGTAAAGAGTTTAAGTAAGTCTTCGAAAGTAACACTTAAGACGGGAAGTAAAGAATTTAAGTAAGTATTTGAAAGTAATACTTAAAAAACGGAAAGTAAAGAGCTAATGTAAGTCTTCGAAATACTTAAGACGGAAAGTAAAGAGTTTAAGTAAGTTTTCGAAAGTAATACTTTAAAAAACGGAAAGTAAAGAGTTTAAGTAAGTCTTCGAAAGTAACACTTAAGACGGAAAGTAATGAATTTAAGTAAGTAATCGAAAGTAATACTTAAAAAACGGAAATTAAAGAGCTTATGAGTAATGGAAAGTAATACTTAAAAAAAACCGGAAAGTATGATTGAAGAATGGATGGAAAATTTTTTCAAGTGAAACATTTATTATAAATTTAAAGATTTCTCCAATTTTCTTTTTGACACAATTCCGTTATGGATAATAAATTTATCATTGTCACTTATTCAAATGCAAAATTTCATTTTTCGCTTTCAATTTCTTTTTGAAAAAGAAATCGAAAACAAAAGTGAATGAAAAAAAATTATGGAAATAATTTAAGGATTTTCTTTTTAAATATATCAATTAAATTTTTAACTTCCATTATAAATTAATCGTTATTTCTTTTAAAATTTGTTAACATTAGAATTTATGTTAACTAATATTTAAAATGGATTTTTAATTTTTTGAAATGGATTTTTAATTTTTTAAAAATCCTAAATATTCATAAAATTTCAAAGATTTTAGGCAGAATATTGAATTAAATTAAAATTATTTATTGCTATTTTATTTGCATTATGATATTCCTAAAAGATTTAAGTATCTTCGTTTTTTTTGATGCATACAACAATGGTTGTCAAGAAGCTCAAAAGAATGTTATTCAAAAATTGTTTATAGAATTATTTATTAAAAAAATCATATCAAATATTAATTTAAATTGCCTATGGAAAATTCATATCAAATATTAATTTTAATTGTCTACAAAAAATTCATATCAAATATTAATTTTAATTGTCCATAAATCAAATAATATATCAAATATCAAACATTAATTTTAATTATCTATAAAATTCGTATCAAATATTAGCTACATAACTAAATAATACATCTTTGAAAAACATATAAATATATCGGATACAAACGTATTGTCATTACTAATCGTATCTTCAATTGTTTAAAAGTGATGGGAAAAAAAATTCTAATTAATAAACTTCAAAAAAAAAGGAAAAATATTTCGAATCGATCTGAATGAAATGGCTAACAGTGAATGAAATGATGTAAAAATTCTGTGCTAAATTGATTTCTACGTGATTTCTATAATTTCTACGTGATATTTAAATT